ATATGGAATGACTACCAGCTGCAATGGGATCCAGCTCAGTACAGTGGAATTGAGTTTATACGAATCCCATCTTCAGACATATGGAGGCCAGATATAGTTCTGTATAACAAGTAATGACTTTCTGTATCCAGGCTGTATATGTGCATATGTCTAATTTACAAAGTTATGTTAATATTTCATACATATGGTGACTCATATATACAGGCTGCAATTGTCACATGGCCCTTACATTTTTGGCACAATAAGGTGACCATTTCCCTGTGCATGCAGCATGAGTGATCTTTTAGACCTGGTTCACACCTAGGAGTTCTTGAGCAGTTGGAAAAGTGCTTTTAAATGCCCAACACAAGAAATCCCATTGTTTTCAATGGCCCCTGTTCACGCCACAGCAGAAAAACGCCAGCAGGAAAATGCCAAAGACCTGAAAAGGTACATGAGCTTCTTTGGGCAGTTAACAGCGCGTTTTTGCCCTATAGGCTTCAATGGAAATGCCTGAAAACGCGTGACAGACGCATGTTGCACATTTTCATGCGTGTTTGTCCGCATGTTCATCCATTGTCCTCAATGTTTCATAAGCTGCCAGTCAAAACCCGCATCTTCATGTACACGCAAACAATTGCACATAAAAAAAACGTGCAAATAAACGCATGGTAAACACGCGCGTACAAACGCGCAAAAACAATGCTGCCTAGGTGTGAATCACGCCTGAAAATGAACCAGTGCTCAGACTAAGCATATTCAATTACTACATATTCTGAACAAACAGTGAAAGTAATTTAAAACAAAGCCTCATTCATCCTAGGAACTGTGGAGAATCATCTTTAACGCTCACAACAACGGACACCAAAATCACAGCTTCTTTCTGCTTTACATTCTATTGCTATAGAATCTGCCCGGTGCTGTAAGCTGCTAAAAACTGACTGAAAGCCAACTTTGGGGTCTCTGTTGTAATCTTTGAGGATTAATTACTTAACAGTATATGCAGCTGGTTAGGTGTGACTTGTTTAAAGGAGAACTATGGGGTCAGTGTTTTTCCCCATAGTTCTCCTTAGGGTAACGGGAGGACACAAACTAGCGTCCTCCCGTTACCCTAACCTCAGTATACCACGAGCTACAGCTCGCGGTATACTGAGACGCCGGAGCGGATCCCGACATGGACGTCGAGATTCGCCCCGCTGCGTGAGGGACAACTGGCTCTGCCTATCTAGAGGCAGAGCCAGCTGTACCCGCCCCCTCCCCGTCCATTCCGCCAGTCAGCGCTGGCAGATCGGAGCGGGGAGAGGGGAATCCAGCCCCTCCCCCTGTCACGGCAGAGAGCCGTGACAGGATCGAGAGGTGAGCGAACCCGGTATCTGTTCACTCACCTCCCGATCTACTGAGCCAACCTGTGACAGTCTCATTGTCACAGGTCGGCTAGAACTATGAGATGAGTGGAAATCATCTCATCTCATAGTTCTCCTTTAAAGAGTGGTTTCCCTTTGTTAATATGTAAATACATTGTTGTCTATAGTCTGGGCACAGGTGAGGATTAAAGCAGAGGAAAAGTTACCAAAAAAATAACAATAAAAACCCAGGAGCTATAAGCCCCACCCTGCTCTTAGCATCCTGGGACGCTCTGGCCGGCATCCCGCTGAGCTCCTGGCAACCAGTGATGTCAATATTTGCCAGGAGATGAGAGGTACTGGTTGTCAGGAGCCTAACGGGATACACTGGCCAAAAGAACCACCCCCCACCCCGGTTATCATGCACTGCCAGCACCCCCCACTCTTTATCAGATGTAGAGATAACCCATACTCCACTCTGAAGCAGTTTTGGGGACAATGATAGGCATGCAAAGCATATTGGATCTGTATATTAGGGGAAGATAGATTTGTCAGAGAATCAGATATTTTGTTTCTGATCGTGCATACCAAGCTTAGATTAAGTACTGTGTGATAGAGGACTTTGTACAGCTTTCTTCCTTCCCCCAGCTACAGGAGAAAAAGAGCCTTCTTTCTCCAATCCCTCTGACCACAGGGCACTAACCAGGAAAATGGAATAAGTAAATGTAATCTTCTTAACAGAGGATTGGGGTTTGAAATCTTATTGAATCTGCATCTTTTTTAACCACAAGTGAGTGTTTATAAATTACAAGGTAATTGAAGTAGGAACATTACACAGATCAAGGTAAGATTAATAAAAAGGACCCTCCTGTATATCATACTAGTTTGCACATATTTGAATAGATGGTATTAAATGTTGTGCAATAAAGTTGGATGGTCTATTTTTTTAGATCAAAATATATTTGATCTATTTGGAAAGCTGTTGATCTCTATTTCAGTATGTTTGGCATCATGCTTCAATGGATACAACTTTCTTAAGCAAACTGTTTTTTTTGTTTATCTGCTGCATAGTTTCTTAGCTGGAGAGCTTGCCAATTCATGTCCCTTGCAATGGTGATGGATTTAGGGACCACTGATCTCTGTGTGGAAAAAGTGGTCTTTCTGCAGAGGTCCGACATCCACCCTGCTAAGTCAGAGCTATAATTCTACAGCCAGCAGAGAGCATGAGCTTTGCTGATTTCTGAGCTGTAGCTCTGACTCAGCAAGTGCTGTGTTGGAACTCTGCATGGAGACGACTATTCCCACAAAAAGACCAATGGTCCTTCTCTGCAGCATGATGACAGTGGACAGGCTTTTCTACTCAAGCTGTGGCTGCTTTCTGAAAACAATAACCTGTAAGGCTTTGCACAGTTTGGTTTTTGGTGCGCTTGAAATGTATTTAGATGATTTGAACTAAAGTTCAGTTGGACTTTAAGATATTGCAAGCTGTGGAGCTCTGATCCCTATGGTAATCTGTTATGCAAAGTGCCACTTTAGCTGTTGAAGTTAAGATCGACCGCAACACCTCCTGGCTTCTGCACTTCCCAGCTAGCAGTCTAGCTATTGTAGTTATGAATTAGGCATGGGAGGGGGTACCCAGAGCCAGCTGAGTCATCAGCTAAAGTTTTGCAGCATTAGGTGGCTAGAGCTTTGTTACTTCTGGGGTGCTCCAGATATCTGAAAAAAAACATGCAGGCAACTCTATGTGTCTTACAGTCCCGTCTGAAGTTTGCATACTCTAACAAAATTACAAAATAAGGATATCTATACATGTGTAGTACAGAGACAGTTATCAAATTCTCTTTGTATATTAAAAGAAGGATTGGCAGCATTAAATTCCCTCCTTGAACCTCCTGGAATACATATAGTCTATATTGCAACTCTGCAAACAAAAGTCATGACAAATTAAATGTGCTTCAGAACATTGGAATCCCACTGGAATCAATGATCTTGTGAGCTTAAAGGAGAACTATGAGATGAGTGATTTCCACTCACCTCATAGTTCTAGCCGACCTGTTACAATGAGACTGTCACAGGTCGGCTCAGTAGATCGGGAGGTGAGCTGACTGGCGGAACGGACGGGGAGGGGGCGGGTACAGCTGGCTCTGCCTCCAGATAGGCAGAGCCAGCTGTCACTCACGCAGCTGGGCGGATCTCGACATCGTTGTCGGGATCCGCTCTGGCTGCGGCATCTCAGTATACTGCAAGCTGTAGCTCGCGGTATACTGAGCTTAGGGTGACGGGAAGATGCTAGTTTGTGTCCTCCCGTTACCCTAAGGAGAACTATGGGGAAAAGCCCTGACCCCATAGTTCTCCTTTAACTGTACAAAGTCTTTGTACAAGGAACCCAGAGTAGATACAAGGTGCCCAAACACTAGCACATTAACCAGATAATTCTGACCACCCATTGGTCTTCAAACGCTCTGCAAAATTCCCTGGTGTCCGATGCCTCCCTCTCCACTGAATCACCAGCAGCTGAAAATGATGAGTCTGCCCGATGTCTCTCCCAAATCTCTCTTATCCGCTCAAAATAGAAAACCAAGATGGCACATAGTGTAAAACTGCTAGATGATAGTTTATTCATAAAAATCAGAACACTTGCATTTAAAAGAGTTTTTCAGCGCTGTAAAAACATAAAATCGGCCTGTATGAGCTCAGCTCTGTCTCCTAGCTGACGCTAGTATATGGAGTGGAGGAGACAGAGCTGAGCTCATACAAGCCGATTTTATGTATCTCTGCAGCTGTCAATAGGGTGTTATTGAAGAGTGTGGGGTAGAGCACTAAAGCGCGGATATCATTTGTTTTGCAAAAAAATCAGACAGCCCACTCATTACAGTATTGCCAGACCATTTTTTTCCTTTGCATTCACTTTACCATAGGTTATATGTGCATTTATGTATTTTATTCATAATATTAATTTGTAAGCCCCCCCAAGTCACCCAAAAGCTTCGAGACTGCTGCTGGGTGCTGCTATCTTAAGGTGACCACACACCTTGCGATAATTGTACGATAATCGCGGGAAATCCCGCGATCGTACGATTATCGTAAGGTGTGTGGAAGCCGTGCGACCTCTACTAATATTCCTAAGACTTTTATCTTAGGAACATGTTCGAAAACCCACCGAGAATCGTCCGATTTTCGCCGGGTGTGTAGCATGTTCATAAGATAAAAGCCGGACTGGCCGGTGTGCGCAAGCGCACACTTCCTGTTCGGCATTGCGGTCATCGGAAGCTCGCCCCTCAGCGGGGCGGGCTTGCGATCATCGCAAGTACGATCTGCCTGTCCAAGATAGGCAGATAGTACGTTTTTTTAATTACCTTACAACCATCGCAAGACAAAAGTCTTGCGATGGTTGTAAGGTGTGTGCCCAGCCTTAGATATGAGGTCGACATCCCCAGTGCCAAGTGACTCTATAGTATTCCTCTTGGCTCCTCTCCCAGCAGCTTCATACAAGTTTATGGAGATGAAGGGAGGGATGAAGAAGCTAAGCCAGCACAGAGAGTAATTAGACACTTCCGGAAGAGAAGAGGCGTTAAGGTACAAGGTCGAAGGGGGCTGTGCTAGGGAATGGACTTTTCCTTTAAAGGCACACTGCCAGCAATTAGAAAAAAATAATTGATGGAGGAAAAACACTGCATTAAAAAATTGGATTTTTCTGTGCTTTTATCTGAAATTTCGTAGGTTGTGACAGGGTCTCTTTAAATGTGACACCAGGAGTCCTTAGAGGTTTGGACTGTATTAGGAGAAGGTACTGTGATCTGCAATGTCAACAAGCAAGATAATTATATATATAATCTCATAGCCTTTGGTTATCATCAAACCCCTTATCAAAGGTTTACATGAACATCAATACTATCAGTTATCAGTTCTAGTGCCAGTTGTTCAGTACACAAGCTTAAGTTCTTATGGAAAGTTTTGTTTCTAGGAGTTACCTAAATGAAGCAGGTTGCAGTCAGATGGCTGAATGTGGAAAAGGGATAGATGCGTTAGCACATTATGAGCAAAGAGATTTTGTAACTGATGATGTAACTAACTGATGTAATTTATTGTAAAAGGAAAATACAGGAAGTGAAATAGTATTTTAGTTTCTCCCTAAACCTTGAGATCTAAGGTCGGTAGAGTTACATGCATTAGTGTTAGCAGTGGTATAAGCCATTACGATAATGGAAAGTTGAGGTCTGCTGGCTGCTACATGGAGAACAAAGCCTGGGAATGCACTATAAGTCACAGCTGCAGAGTTCCAATATGCTTTGGCCCTCTGTACTCTCTCTGTGGGTGGCTCGTTATTGGGTATGTCCCTATGTAGATATGTCAGGCGGCAACAAATCTCAACCTTGCTCCATGTGCTTCCCACACAGCAACTTCACCTCAGCTCTGTGCTACTGCACTAATGTGCCTAACCCCAATGCCGCCACTGCACCAAAACCAAAATACTGTTTGAGACTGGAGTGTCCTTTTATGACAAATAAAATGTGATAATCATTTAATTTGTGGGCAGTTTAAATCATCTCTTTCATTGCGTGCATAGTTATTTTCATTACTGTTTGTGTTTATAGTGCAATTGGAATCTTTCAAGTCGATGACAAAGCCAAGGCCATATTGAAGTACACAGGGGATATAACCTGGATGCCTCCAGCTATTTTCAAGAGTTCTTGTCGGATAGATGTGACATACTTCCCCTTTGACTACCAGAACTGTACTATGAAGTTTGGTTCCTGGACATACGATAAAGGAAAAATCGACCTAGTTATGAATAGCTCTGAAATGAACCTGAAAGAGTTCTGGGAGAGTGGGGAATGGGTAATTATCAGTGCCATTGCATACACGCATGAAAAGAAATACAACTGTTGTGCAGAAATATACCAGGATATCACATACTACTTATATATCAAACGCCTCCCATTGTTCTACACTATTTACATTATTATCCCTTGCCTTCTCATCTCTTGTTTGACCATCTTGGTTTTCTACTTACCCTCAGACTGTGGAGAGAAAGTCACTTTGTGTATGTCTGTTCTTTTATCACTGACTGTATTTCTCCTGGTAATCACTGAAATCATTCCTTCAACTTCCTTGGTGATCCCCCTCATTGGTGAATACCTACTTTTCACAATGATATTTGTAACTCTGTCTATTGTTATAACTGTATTTGTGTTAAATGTTCACTACAGAACTCCCAAAACACATACAATGCCTGGCTGGGTCAAGAAAATCTTCTTGGATAAACTTCCCAAAGTAATGTTCATGGCAAGACCATGCAGAGAAGACAGAAGTGTGCTCAAATCACTCATGAATGTGGACATCTTCAATGTGAACAGTATCTGCAGCTCTGAAATTAGAAGCTGTAAAGACCAGCTGCTTTGTCAGGACAGCTCATGTCCATGTGGACAAAGGAAGAGATTGTATACTTCAGACACAGTTTTCAACCTTACTCGGGGATCCAGCTTAGAGTCCATTGACAATCTGGTGCCAAATTCCTTGTTATCCTTAGAAATGAGAGAAGCTATAGAAAATGTTAATTTTATTGCAGAGAACATGAGGATGCAAAATGAAGCTAAAGAGGTAAGGACTTCTCTGCTTGTGGCTAGATATCATGTTTAACGTCAAACTATTTATTTTTTTTAGGTTTAGATGCAAAGGGGGGAATTTATCAAAACTGGAGCAGACAAAATCTGGAGCAGTTGTCCATGGCAACCAATCAGCTTCTCTTTTCAGTCTGTTCAGTAAAGCTTTAAAAATGTAAGGTGGATGCTGATTGGTTGCCAGGCACAGCTGCTCAAGATTTTGTCTGCTCCGGTTTTGATAAATTCCTCCCAGAGTGTCTTTTAGTTATTGCCCTCTGTGACTCTACTGAGAAGAGTCCCCTTCAGTTCCTGCCAATCTGACACTGGGACAAGAAATGAATGAAACCGGTAACTCTACAACAGAAAGCCACAAACAGCAATATGACAGAAACACACGTACAAAAGGAGCGCTACTACTGTGAGGGTAATGATAACTCACTGTTAGATGTCACCGATGATGGTCTTTTCTGATGAGCTGGTTTCGTAAAAAGCTGAGTGCATAAGTACAAATATGAGTAATGAAAGCCGACTGCACAAGCTCAGCTAATATAAAAGTATGGGGTATCATGAACATCAAATAAAGATACATACAATGGCAGATGGGGTACAATGGAGAGTGGGAATGGCGTAAGGGGGAGGATTGTTCAATACTTTTCAAGACTAGAATCTACAAACCCAACAACGCTGTGTGTTTAGGACTGGAACGTCTTGTCTGGTCAGGTGGAGTATTTCAATTTGCTAAATTTATGACCTGGAACCTTTAGACTGCTTATTTTCTAGTGATGTATACAAAAAGTCATTGTTGGGGGGTTGGTGACGGATATTATATGGAATACAGAGGTACTCTATTTGGCTTTTTTCCTTCTTCAGTGCTTGCACATAATGTAAAAATATAATACTTATATGTTTCTTCTCTTTTCTTAAGATTCAGGATGACTGGAAATATGTCGCCATGGTTATTGATCGTATCTTCCTCTGGGTTTTTGCGCTGGTTTGCATCCTGGGCACAACTGGACTTTTCTTGCAGCCCTTGGTGTTTAGAGACTAAGGAAGAGTTCTTGTTCTATATATTTTTAAATGCATGTACACGTATTGATATGTATTAGAAGAGGTTGCCACAAGGAAAAGAATGAGTTTAAACTAAAAAAATTATGTTGCCTGTATCTACAGTACATGCACCTTGCATAATATAGAGTAATCCGAGGCTCAAAATTTCAAGTCCTGAGCTACTAACCCTTACCCGGCCTTAACCCTTATTAAGGCCGGGTAACCCTTACCCGGCCTTAACTCCTCCCCTAAACACACCCTCTTAAATAATCTTATGATAACTCTTATCTTATGATAGTTGCCGCTTGTAAACGGGAGATTAGGGATTCCTGCTGTAGGAAAACGCAAGTTCCTGATGAGGAATCCCTAATCACACCTGAAATATACTGTAGGTGTGAATGGGGCCTAATATACACATACACTAAAATACAATAATACACTTCTCATCATTACGCCCCCCCCTGCACAAATATAATAATAAAATTCCTCCCCGTCAAGTCAGGTACGCGGTCTGCGACCGTGTGCCTGACATGTCAGCTGGCTGCGGGCCAGAGTTGGCCCGCAGACCGGTACTTGCAGACCCAAATTTCCACTCGCCCTCACTTTATTTATACTCGCCAAACGCGAGCAGGCGAGTGGAAATTTTGAGCCCTGCAGTAATCAAGGCCCGACTCTGGGCAAAGACAGTACTGCAATACTTACCTGCACACTGGCAATGTGCCCCACAGTAATTTCTTTATGACATTAAATGTCCTCATTCTACCAGGTTGAATGATTCCCTATGTGACTGAAGACTGAGGATATCCTGTAAGTTCAGGGCATCATGGACTCACCCCCTAAGAGGGAGCCACCACATACTGTATAATGATGCAGATAATGTCTGTCTATGCTCTCTGTGGTTCATTTCAGGATATTCTCATTTGATTAGCCAACTGACATTTCTAACTAGTACATTGAGCTTATTCTGTATTGCCTAGTATGGTCTACACATCCACTAGACCTTTTACATTTATTGAGGTTGATTTACTAAAGGATAGGAGCATGTTCATGTAGTTTACTGGATAAGGTGAAATTGTATTCACTTTAATTATCAAGTCATCCGGGCCTACTCACAATTTGATACCATATTTTATTATTTTCTATGCCGATATACTGATGTTCTCACCACACTCAATTCCCTGTATGTTTACTGTTTTGTTCAATAAACCCAGATTTAACCATAATTATCATGTCCTCTAAATTGTTTTCTTGGAGTACATTAAGGGACACAGGATGGGATATTCAGGTACATTGGGTTATGCTGTTGCCTACAGGAGACTAGACAATGGAAAAACAAAACTGTAAGGACGGCCCAGTATAACCTCTCCCACTCACAGCATGGCTCAGTTTTGTAGCAAGCAATAGTAGGACTAGATCATAAGAACAAGGACCTGTGTCCCTTAAAGGAGCAGTGTAGAGAGAGTAAAATATACTCTACCCACTATTTAGAGCTAGTGTGAGACATTGCAACTATCCCTCTCCGGCTCTAACACAGTGAGCTGACCGATCATGTAACCCCGGATTGATCAAATCTGACAGTCTCCCCCAATGGAGAGCAGTGACTCTCGGTCACTGCTCTCTGCAGGGATTATCTGCCTCATATACACACACACACACACACATATGAACCTAAATGCAAATGTCAGGTGTGTCTATGTGCAAAAACAACGATTGTGCCACAGAGGTTACATATCACCGCACACGCTAGAATGAGAGAAATCATTCTAAGGGCATAATCCACAGTTAACTCTAAACTGAAAGGGTTTTAAAGCGTCGCCTATGGACAATTTTGGGTAATAAAGTTTGTCACCATTTCACAAGCACATGAAATTTTAAGACTTGACATATTTGGTATCTATTCACTCAATGCAACCTCATATTTTATATTTTGCCAAAAAAGGTATTATATTGTGTTTTTGTGCCTAATAATTTTAATGCATTTTTACAAAATATTTGTGTTTTGATAAACAGTTGCTCCAATATCGTGTGACATAAAAAATTGGAACTGCCACAATTATATTCTCCAGGGACCCTGCTCTCAGAAAATATATAATTTGGTGGGGGGGTTGTTGTTGCGTTTAAACACTAGTCTTCAGACCTAATGTGCATTTCAACATGCATAGTTTATTAAAGTAGATGTAAACTCAATCACTAAAATCTCATATAAGCTTTAACATGATAATATCACTTGAAAAGTTTTTTTATTAAATCGCTAACTTTTAAGAAAACAGCTGGAGATACTGATATAAAGGCCTTTGTTTGGGCACTTTGTGTTATGCGGTGACAACCGATAAATAAAGGTCCTTGTTTGGGTGCTTTGTGTTATGCAGTGGTAATGTTCTGCTCTTTTATCTCATAGTCCCCTGTCTGTAAATCACCCAGTTACAGGCACTACCAAAGGAAACTATAAGCTGCTGTGCTGATTGACACATTGTCCATGCATAATGTCCACTGTTGTCACTGTGAAAAAAAAAACAATTACAGCGAGAAACAATCAGGAAAAATGCCCTGTGAAAAATAGATGCAGCCTATTATCACTGGAGTGCATGTGGACAGGGACAGGCTATAAAGAGACTTCATGACATCAGCAGTATTAAGATGTAACAAAAATGAAAAAGGTAACTCCCCCGACACACACACACACATCCAATTCTATACACACAGCATTTTGCTCTCTACAGTACATTACATGCCGTAAGGGTTTATATCTACATGCCGGTGCCTACAAGCCCTACTCTAATCCTACACTTCCTATGCAGTTTGTCAGCAGCACTCTCAATGCTATTCCTATTAAAGATAGGTCACATTGTCGATGTGGCTGCTGTTTAAAGGCCAGGCAGTGCATTATGAATTAAGAATGAGGTCTGGTGAATTTCAGTATAATTTTACCAAGACTATGAATTTCAAACCTGCAATGCCTGCATTCCGGCCCAGTGTGATCGCAAAAAATGCTGCATGCGCTATTTGTTTTGCGATTGCTTTGGACCGGAATGCGGGCATTGTTGTGCCATGCACTCTGGTGATCGCACTGCAAGTGGGGGGGGGCGTGGCTGCGGGGCCATTGACTTCAATGCACCACCACGCCTCCACCCGCCCAAGAATGCAGGGGGGAGTTAAGTATGCGATACAGTGCGTTCCAGCATCTAACCGTGCTGGACCACAAAATAATTGGTGTGAACAAGCCCTAAACCCATGATAGCAGCGACCCTTGCCCTCATCTCTAATTAGATTCAGCAGTCAAAGAAAAAATTCCCAAAGTACTATAGTTATCACTGAGTGCCGAGATAATTTTTTATCTTTGCAGATTTTAGAAGAGGATACTTCCACTTTGATGCTGTGCTCATCTCTCTCTACAATCTCACTCTGCATCTTGAAATACCTCTGAATAAGCCATAACTATGGCTAACCTAAGAATTGGCTAACGCCACCCACTCTTTGTCTTTAAACATGAAATAAGTATTCATGGATCAAGATATATGTGACTTGGTACAATACAGGTGAAACTCGAATAATTAGAATATCGTGCAAAAGTAATTGCAGTAAGTGCTGCAAAAGGGGCCCAAACCAAGTACTGAGTACATATGCATGCTTGTACTTTTCAGAGGTCCGATATTGTTCTATGTACAATCCTTGTTTTATTGATTGCATGTAATAATCTACTTTTTTGAGGTTGTGGATTTGGGGTTCTTGGGGTTTTCATGAGCTGTAAGCCATAATCATCACAATGATGACAAATCACGGCTTGAATTATCTTGCTTTGCATGTAATGAGTCTATCTCATATATTAGTTTCAACTTTTAAGTTGCATTAGTGAAATAAATGAACTTTGCACAATATTCTAATTATTCGAGTTTCACCTGTAGTTGTGTGTAGGCAATTCTTTGTTAAATACTAATGCATATATACTATATGCCTATGAATAGAAAAGGAATATACATCTGCTGTATTTTTTTTGAGAATATCTGCAGAACTAGAGACTACAAGCAGCTGAGCCAACACACATTGCCCTGGAATGGTCCACCTTTGTTGCTGTCAGGAAACCAATCCAAGCGATGATGTGCCAGTAATGATGGAGCAATTACATGTAGACAGAAAGTGGCTAAAATTGGGTGGAGGAGATCAACAGATCTGTGATGCAAAAAAGTATATACAAAAGGTGAAAACAGTATCTTTTGAAAAACAAAGCTTAGCAATCGTTTATGGTGGACATGGCTTTAGCAAACTAAATGGTATCTAATTAGGGTTTACATCTGCTTTATTTGACTTGTTAACCCTTTAGGGCCCATTCACACCAGATGTGTTGGGGCTGCACAGGTCATACTTTCCAGTGCAGCCCCAATGCAAGACAACACAATTTGCCTTGTCATAGATGGCTAAGCCTGTACTGCAAGGGTTAAGTGCTCGTTTTCATTTAGGTGCTAATTTACCAAAGTTATGCTGACCCAATCCTCTGAGCTGGCTTGCCCTTAGATCAGTTCCTCCTGCCTGTCTCCTCTTATTCTGTCCCTCAACATTCTCACGTCCTATACATTGTGTATAGTAGGTGATGACTTAGGAGCCTTAGACCACTGCAGTGGAGGTGGAGAAAGGCGGGAGGGACCAGTTTAAGAGCAAGCCAGCTTGAAGGATCAGGGGAGTATAACTTTGCTATTTTTTAACCTAGACAAAAAACAAGCACTTAACCCTTACAGTGCAGGCACAGCCCCACTGCAAGGGGTAAGAATAAATTTCCCTGGAGTTCAGCTTTAAGGAAAACTCCAACTTTGTTAAAAATCTGATGTATTTATAATTGCTAAATATTCCATTGTGATATGTTATTAAAAATAATTTTCTAATTCCATCAAGCTGCTAACTATGATTTTATAAAACAGTCAGAAATTCAAAAGTTGTTTTCTTGTAACCATAGAAACATCAGTTTTTTCTTCTTATAACACTGATCATGTGAGTATGAGTTACATGTGTCAGTATCCGCAGTGAAAGAACATTTAGATGTTTCCAGTGAAGATAGCTAAATCCTTGGAATGTATATAAAGGACAAGAAGGACCAGTAGAGGTTGTTTTCTCAGCAATTCCTGTACACTTATGTGTTTACATGCCTTCCACTGAATTATCAGCTTACCACATCACCCAGAATACTGTATTTCCACATGTGGTGTGTAAAAATGTGACATTATCAGATTATTACTTTCCATCAGATAGTATCTCAACGGTCCAAATTTAACTAACGATACAATCTGTAAGACTTCTTGTATTATTCCTGGTCTGTTTGGACCAGTGGTGGACTGACCATTTGGGCACTGCCTGAGGGCCTGCGGCCAGGATGGGGCCCGTGGCCGCCGACAGGACTGTACAGGCAGCACTCTCCTGTACCAGACGGGCCCCATCAAGTGAGCGTGTGGTGGGGGGGGGGGGGGGGAAACACCAGCAG